ATGTCAAATATTCTTCTCACACCTCACCGACCTGTTCTTTTCCAGGTCCCCAAAGCCAATGCTCCATGACATATGTCAGAGACAACTCCCACGCATGGCACCAATAGGATGGAATTTTACTGCCAGATTTCTGTGCACAGTGGTGAAGGAAGATGTGCTGAAGAAGTTTTTGGGGAGTATTGTGTTACATCACGATGAATGATAATAATGATATGATGGTTATGTTGTTCATCCGGCCAACTTTTCTTCCAGTGATGTCATTCTTTCAGGGTTTCTGCAGCTTTCAACAAGTTAAATTTCAGACCATTCAAATTATCAATGCAATGCAAGACCTATTTCACATCTATACAGGCAAAACAATTTGCAAGTTTGCATCCTCACCTCACAAACACATCATACTGTCACTCCAGTACAAATTAACATCTTTGTGATGCCTCAACCAACTTTCTCAAACAAACTTTGTAAAATTATTGCAGGGGGTGAATAATCACAGGGTGGCATGGGGAACGTTAGTGCACGGAGGAGAAAACTTTCATGCAGTGAGAGAAAAACAGATGCTAAACGAGAAAACAAATGTTCAACGAACCACACTCCTGTCACAAACACCGTGGCACTGCTGCATAACATCTGGTGGTTTTCATACACATTACCAGCACCACAACTCTGTTTATTGGGCATATGAGGATGAATGAATACAATTACACACACAGTAGATCACATATAGTGGTCTGGAATATTGAACAACGCAGAAGTTGCTCAAATAGATGCTTGTGTGGTCGGGGCCATATGCATCTGCTTCGATAAATTATCTCAAAGAGTTCAGGTCACTCTCTCCTGTGTCTTCTTTAATCTTTGACCCTCGCAGATTTCTGTCTCAATAATGGCGAGAACTTTTTTAAATATTTATCGTCTTAAAGAAAATATCCCTCAAATAATCTTACATTACTAGAAATAGAAATGCGTGATATTTAGTGCACTTCAGGGGCCAAATGTCTAATCTGCAGATTCTACTTAAACCCGTTCAGATCTCATGTCCATTCTATTAGCTATGCTTTTATCATTAGTGTCCTCTGACGCCAATCCCAGTGCTCCACATCATGAAAATACTTAAATAAGTCCCAGGGCAGTAAGTACAATAGCAGTGTTACCTCTAGGATTTCTCTAAGAACACTTTCTGTATAAACATAAGATGGATACCACTATAATAAATTAAGGGTTGTAATGTAGAAGAAAGAACAAAACAAACAAATTCAAATCAATATTTAAATGAAACTATCTGTTAAGTTTAGAGGACAAAGTTCTTGTTGATAGAATTGCTGACAACCTAGATATCTGAATCATGGCATAGGACCTCAACTAGGTATGTTTTGGGGATGGAATCACAAGCCAAAAGGTTGGTAACAACTGCTTTTACAATGTATTTTATTTTATAGGTTTACCATATGTTTACATAAAAAATCTGAAAAGTCAATAGTAACTGCTGTATAACTGCCAAGAGGAGTGTGAATGAAGTGACACAAAATGGATATACTGTAAGTACAAGTACCACAAAATTTGACAAAATCTACTTGAATACTTTCCACCATTCCACTAGTTCTATCCTGTGAATACAGCATGTCTTTCTGGGTTGATGAGAATCTGGAGTTCAGGAAAAAAGTATCACAACTCAACAGCCTTCTCATTAAAATAAGGGCCATTCACCATGACAACACCAATAATGTGTCATGGTGGGAAAAACAAAGAGCAGAACACAATCTGTGTTCAGTGTGTGGGAGAAAACAATGAAAGATATGACTAATACAGTACTGTTAAAAATGTGATGGATACAACAGTTAAAAATAACTGAGAGGAATTTGGGCTAAACATTTCACAAGCTGACAGTGCTGTCTGCATTTTGAGCTCCATTTGTGGCATATGTTTTGGGCAAAACAATACAAACTGACAAAAGCAGTTTTATCAATGATTATGTTGCCAGGTGCAAAGACATCTGCCTTTCAAAACGTACTTTTTGGCCCACACAGCGCAATTAGTTTGAACAAAAACTGTCCAGCTGAAGTGATCAGTTTTGGAGGATGTTTGCTACAAACAGACGTTTGCTACAAACAGACAACCACTGAGGCTGTCAAATTCTAAAAACAGTATCACTGTTCAGCGTGGTGATACATTGCTAGACACTTCTGTTATATAACTGTGTCTACATTGTGAAAATGTAACTATTTCAATAAGAGGTCACTCTATAGCTCAAGAGGAGAAAAGAGTGGGAGGTTCTATAAATGTGATAATGCATGCAGGTCACCAATCCAGGCCTTGTTCTACTCACTTCTGTTAATACCAACTTGCTGTGTGCCTACAGGATGTTTGCTTCTCACAACTCATCTTAGTTCATCTAAGATATATCTAACTTACCTGGGCCTGTATTTAGTAATTGTCTGAGAGTTTAAAATCTGTCCAACCTGGACCAAAATTCTCAGATTGATGCAGTTTTGGTCCTCTTAGGCCTAGAGATAAAGCTATTTTATCAACCTTTATAAACTTCTAAAATGAATCCTATCTGTACTGATACATCCCCGTTTCATGGCAAAGCATGAAATCCACTAGACGATACTGTGTCAGACGTTAAAGTACACATGTACAACGGTGCAGTACCAGCAGGGGATAATGACGGGAAAAAAGGATGAACGTAGTAGAAAGAGAGACACAATCCGCTTAGGAAGGTTCCTTTGGTGCCGAAACCTAACCAAATAGTTTTTGTGCATTAACCTAACCAAGTAGTTTTGGTGCTGAGACTTTTGGTGCCTAAACTTATAATATAAATTATAATAATACGTACCGTCTAGACCTGCTCTATTTGAAAAGTGTCCTGAGAGAACTTTTGTTATGAATTGGTGCTATACAAATAAAACTGAACTGAATTGAATTAAAGTAGTTTTGGTGCTGAGACCTTTGGTGCCTAAACCTAATCAAGTAGTTTTCAGTGACCTGAAATGTTCCTTAGCAAACTTTATTTTAAAAGTCTAACTGGATGTTGGATATTTATTATTGCTAACTTGACTCCAGTAAGGCACCAAAGCGTGTAGAGGATACCATGCCAATGTCACATTTTGCCTCACCAATACGTGAAAAGTACATAGCGGACCAGCTTGTGTGGGTTAGCTGATACTTAGGAGAGCTCCACAGGTATTCTATCCTGTTAGGAGTCACCAGGAGATGGCACTTGTGCACAAGATTTGTTGAAGAGAAGTATTTAGTGATGAATATGAGGTTTATTAAAAGATACAAGAAGATTCATTGAAGACATATGGTTATTTTGTGACAATGTATTTACCAACCCTGGTTGTTGCTGTAAGGACACATAGGTAAGCAGGAGGTTTGATTGTTTTTGTACACAGTCCCGGACAAATAAATGGAATAAAACCAACAAAATGTACAATATTGCACAATAAATGTAAAGGTGCAGCACTAATAATGGCTAATTAGATAATGTAATTTTATATATATAAATATAACTTAGTCAGCAATATTATTTGTCTATTTGTTTAAAGCATAAACATTAAAATTGTTTGGAAAAGGGCACACCAAAATATGATATGTGATTAGATGATCCATCTGTCAATCACAGGCGAACTTCAACCAATCAGAACAACGAACCGTATAACGTCACTCATACTCAGTTGGGAGAGGAGCTGCCATTCTTTGCTCTTCTTTCAATGACGAAATACTGATATAACTGATGCTGGCAGCATCGAGGACACACCTAGAGTGAAACTACACCCAGACTCATGCTGTAGCTGCCAGTAGTTTATAGTTCATTGGGTGCTGATTGATCCGAACCACCATGGTTTGGACACAAGCACATCGCTTGAAGCCTGGCAAAATGGATTCTCTCATCATCTTGCAATATCGGCGTGATTTTAGTACTAGGATCACTTTCAGCACAATTCCTGTGATACTGAGATGAGCTTGATAAATACAGTTCCCGATTCTAAAAACAACATATTATACATGAAATCCATACAGAACCTATGTGACCCCTACTTCCAGCCCTGACAGCCTAACGTCTCAGTAAAGAAATAAAATAAAACAGGAAATTGGATTACCCACATATTTGTAACACAGCAGTTCCATTTTAATGCTAATGTATGCATACTGGACTTTCCCCTTGCAGAGTCAAGCATATTTATGTATCAGACAGTTTTTAATTCAATTTGGGTTTTGTCTCTTCCCCCAAATAAAGCCAGTTCTGTGCATTTCACCCTCCACTACTTATTATTTTCAGGTTGTGAAGATGCCTTGAGGGTGGATAAACATCATAAAGATATCTTGCAATAATTAAGCTTAAAGTTGCCATCCTAGCCACAAGTTCCAAATTTGAGTGGGCAGACTTAGCTGGGGCTAAATCTCTGTGTTTCTACCCAAAGGCAATACAACAAACATCAATACTGAATTTTTAATGGAAGTAAATGGGGGTATGCATAATTTGTTAGCTCTGTGATGTGTATTTGTTGCTTGTATAGAGACTTAATCCATAATGCTGCATGTCAAGCTGAGTCTGAAACTGATGCTTTTTCTATCTACATAATACTATTAGTCTTAAAGGCTGCAGATTGTTGTTATCACATCCAGTCCCCAATGTGTCAGAACTGGACAAATACTGCACTGACATACTGTCCGTATCTTTTTCTTTAAAAGATGACACTTTTGTTCAACAAATGATACACTCAGACTACTGACAGCTGTGTGTATCTTGCGAGAGAGGGATTTTAACTTCCGAGAAAGACAAAGATAAATAAGTGGTGGCCTGAAGCAGAAGTTTATCCATTTAAATTCTGTCAGTAATTGAGAAACTAGGTATGACTGTGTCTTCAATGCAGTCTCTCCACAGTGATTATGCACCTTAAAATTCAAGTACAGCCATAAGAGGGTCGTCTGAAAGTGGAGGGTGATCAGTAGGCAAAATGACAGCAGAGGAAGTAAAAAAATAAATAAATCTGTTGTTTTACCTCTTCTGCTTTGGTCTGCTCGAAGGCGAACTCCATAGTGGGCACAGCAATTTGGTTGGCGAAGAAGTTCACATCTCCAGGCAACTGCAGCGAGCTGACGTTGGGTCCGGGGCAGTTCCCACCACGAATGCAGCTCAGCAACTGTCTCTAAAAGAGAGGACAAAAAAGGACAAAGAAAAACTCAGTGAGTTAAATTCACTGGTGGGAAGGTGAGAGAGGGGGTTTAGAAGAGCAAAAAAACACAAATTGCTGCCATGTAAATAAATTAAACTGCCTGAAATATCAGCTCATGGCTTGTGTTTAACTAACTGGAGATTTATAGTAGCAATAGAACAATGCTTTGTTCATATGAGACATATGGCATGTGTGTTAATTTCTCAGCATCTAAGTGTTACAGGTTAATAAGGGTTAAATATGGGAAATTAAGATGGTTCCTGGGAATTCACACCATTCATAAACACGAGTTACTGTTAGTTGTTACTGTATGTGTGTGTATGTGTGGAAAGTATATCTACTGAAACAAAGACATCGTTTTGAAACCTTATGAACACTTCCACTCCTCTGCTATAAATAAATACTCAAAAATGTGTTTTTTATTACGTTTACATCCCATTAAACGTCAAACCTTGACTTTACTGTCTTTACCAGTGTCAAACCTACCAAAGGCAAGCTAAATTCGAATTTCGAAAGCAGAAATGGGACGCCAGCTCTACCCACTGAGCTAACGGGGCGCCACAGTGTGTAGTTTTTGGATGTAAACTGGACCCTGGAGCTTCCTTACACCAGTGTTTCTCAAATGGTGGTACTATAGAGTACTGCATAATGGGTACTTGAAATGATCCTCAGTGAAGCACAAGCCCTTTGTGCAATTTCATTTTAAAAGACGCAGTTCAATTAAACCACAATGCTGTCTTGGTGGAAGATGACAAAAATTGGTTTGCCATGAAGGATTCTAATGACGCATTTTAGTCACTGATGGTGTAGTGCTGTACTGTACCTCTTTCTAAGCATTGTTTTCATCAAAACTGTTTTGTGCAGGTCAGGGGGTACTTGGCTGTAAACATAATTCAAAAAGTGTACATTAATGAAAAAGGTTTTAAAACCAGTGCCATACACTATCTCACTTTGTAGCAGATATTACATGTTTCACAACCACTACTGCCACTGCCAGTAACAAGCAAAAAGCTAATGGAAATAACAAATACTACTACTAATACACTAATACTTACTACACTTACTATTCTAATATATCTGCTGGCCACCAATTTTGGTGCACAACAGACTCGTCTGGGTTCTGGTCATCTAGTGACAGCACATGTCTCCATTGGTTGTGTTTTTGCAGTGTGTTTCTGTATCTGCAAGCACTCAGCACACATAAAATAATACACAAACACTCATGGGATAAATAAATAAATAAATATATACAGATGGGTAACAATTTAAAATGACAAAATAACATAAACCTCCTACTAAAACCATCTCTATTCTCCCATAGTGTTCAATATATTCACCTCATTTTCATTTTCATTGTTTCATTGTCTACATTTTCACTCGTCTATATATTGTGCAATGTGACGCCTGAGCAATACATAAGCCTGAGCAAAAAGAGGAAGAACTCACAATCTTTTTTCACAACAAAGGAGCAAAACTATGGTTACCTACTCAGTTAAACACTTTACACCAATTGCTAAAAGCCACAGAGAAAGCATGATCTTTGTACGTATGCTGACAGAACCTGGACACCTGTACAAACCATCTCTTACATACAGTATACCTCATACTTACCTCCTTATATAAATAAGTTATACAACTTTGCTACACCACCTATGGACCCCTCTCAGAGATCTTTTCTGGGCTTTTACAGCACAGATAGCAAAAGCACAGACTGAATAAACAATAAAATGAATATTGCTTTTACTTTATTTGCACAGCGTTTCTGTATTTGGTTGTGTTGTCCGTATTTGCAGGGCTGACTGTAAGCTATGATTTCATGTAATAGCAGTGGTAAAACTTAGCAGGAACATAGCAAAAGCCCTGATACACAACCATTATCAGGTTGGGGGTTGAAATAAACAGTATGTACACTGTACACTACTTGATTTGGCAATTTGCATGTCCTTGCTTAAACCTAGTGATGACAGTGCCTTTTGAGGTGAGGTGAGGTGAGGTGAGGGTGTTATTAACATTTGGCACGTGGCTAATAATCCAATTCAAGCTTTTGACACACTTTCCACAGCTATGTCACTTGTCATCTAGGTTGGCAACTTTCTGGTGTTATTCCTAATTGAAAGAACAACAAGGCTGCTATACAGCAACTGTTGAGAGAGCATAGTGGGCAGTGGAATTAAACAGAATGCAACAGTCAATCATTTAGAAGCTTATCTCAACTGTCCACATCTGCTGAGGCCACCTGGTGTCACCATGTTCTTCTGTCACATTGCATTTAATTAGAGTTTGCTTTTATCAAGGTCTGTCAAGGGGAGAGAGCTCTGGTGTCCAATCATACCCACCACTGTCACTGACACACTGTTGTCAACCCTATTCTATTTACACTGCTGCTGTGACATGCTCCCACTCTAACTGAATGGCGGCCAGTAAATAACACCTTCAACCTTGCCTCATCCAGCCAACGTGTACTGTGGTGTCACAAGGGAATGTCTCTTCTTAATCTTACACTTCTTCCATTTACTCCCACTAAAAGAAGGAAGGGCAAAAACATTTACACACATATCAATATTCATGAGGGGCATTTCATTACCCACTTATGGCTAATTGTGGGAGTTAACAGGGTGGCAATAAATGCTTGTTCATGTGTGCAGAATTTAAAAGTTGATTGAGATTCCTAATGGGGAACTTATTGCAGTACTGCTTGGTATATTCAACTTTCTTTTTATTTACAGCAGCCCATTAGTATGGAATTCAAGCAAAGTTATGTATATGTGAAGTCCGTAGTGTTTTAATCTACAAACAGGAACTGATGCATTTGGGGTTCCTAGGAGAACTCATAGCCACTGTGACTAAATGGAGAAAGAAAAACCAACAAAAAATTAAACTTCAGCTACAGCACAGAAAACAATACGCAACAGCATCGACTACTTAATAATAAGGATTGTAGTAAAACAAGACCAGGCAAGACACCTTGCCCGACCGCAAGTGCAGCTCCGGAAACAAGTACTTTTCACAAACATACGCAACCCAGTTACCTGGTGAAGTCAGGCTGCAGTTATACTGCTCACTTCCACTCTCTGAGGGCAGCTGTCAACCCAGAGAGCTGTTGCTACGCCAAGCAGTGAGGACTACAGATCCACAAGGCAGCAGTGCTGAAAGTAGCTGACATCTGTCTCTGCACTCTTGGGTCAAATAAAGTCAATAACTTGGCAACACTGGCAGGGTGAGGTGAGGTGAAGAGTGCCCTATTGGGCCACCTCCAACTGTCATTTGCACACATTCATGCGTGATATGTAAACTCACACATCAACATTACAACAATGTGTGTCAGTATGCCAGCCAGTAAGGGACATTCACTTTTCTGGGCTGCCAAAAATGAAACCCATTGTGTGGGAAATATTAAGCAGCTCGTAGAATCTCTGTGTTGATTCTGGCAGCCCCTGTGGACAGAAGCGGTAGTGTTTCTACTGCCTTGTTTCAATGATTACAAGGCAAATCCAAAGCAGCAGGCTTTAAGAACATCCATATGAAAACAGCCAATCTTTCTGCTGACGTTCTTGTTTGTGTTGGTCATATAGAGGATATTAACTAGAGACCGTTTCCAAACCAACAGCACCAAGGTGGCTTTCTTGCCGGGTTTGGCTCTTGGCGCCCTAGGGCTGAGTCAGTTAACATTAGCAGCTAGTGAAGTTGAGGATGAGCAGCTGGAGGACATCAGAGAGAAAACTAGAAAGTATTCTCTCCTCTATGTATGATCCAGTTTTTACCCAGACGATCTGGATGAAATGAGTGAGACCCGGCCCCGAGAAACCCTCGGGGCCCCGAGAAACCCTCGGGGCCGGCAGAAACCAACCATGCTGTTGCTTGCTAGCTAGACTGTCCTCACGAATACACGGCCTCACCCAATACGATGTCGTTTCGAAGATACTCCGTAAACACGGCGTCCTCTCCAGAAATATCTGCGTCCACACGGATTCACTGAAACGACCCAAAACGCTGTAGTACATATGCCAGGCCTGTATGTGGCGCTGTGACGCCGCCACACCAGTACACTAAAACCGGAAAAGAAGGCATGGAGCATGCGCATAAATGTCACGCGCTGTTTACAAACAAGCTCGTAACACGAGCAGAGGACGAACATGGCCGGCGCCACTCTGAGAGGAAGAGGAGAGTCTTTTGTTTGGACCGACAATGAAGTGGAACTTCTGCTCCGTGTCACATTGGACTACAAGACAACAAAATTGCAAGAAAATGTCGACTGGGAGTCTTGCCACTCCAAGTACTCCGACATTATGGACGAGTTTCAGGCGCAGTATCCGCAAACCTCCACGGAGCGGGATTTCCCCCATGATGCCAAGAGCGTCACAAAGCCACAGGTTACCGCCAAGTTGAAAAGTATCCGGACGAAGTACAGGCAGGCGCTGGACACCGGGCGCCGCAGGGGCCAGGGCCGTGTCGTTCTGTTGTATTTTTCACTGTGTGAGGAGATATGGGGTGGGTCGCCTGCTACACGCGCCATCGACGCCGGCCTCGAGACTGCTGACATGGAGGAAGAAGATGTCAGAGGAAGATCTGAAAGTCTGCCTTCTGCGGTCATAAAGCAGCGCAGGGATTTGCTCCGGGTATGTTCATGATTTAAAGCTTAACGAGCTGACTATATGCTGTGATACGGTAACGATGTGGGAACAGTATAATGGCAGGTGCACGTTCTGTGTGTAGGTGTATTAGGTGTGTTGCTTTCATACGTAGCTTTGACCATAACTTGGTTTGCATTATAATGAGGAGAAATGTGCTCTGCTCTATTCAAGGCAAGGCTGAACAACCACAGAGGGGACAGGCTGAAACGAAAACTCACAGGTGACCAAGTAGCACTAGAGGACCTTCAGATTAAGTGGAGGATGTTGGAGCTGATGGAGGAGTCCTCTAAAAGAAACATGGACTGCATACAGCAAATCAACACAAACATTGCAAACATCACAAACTCCATACAAGAGGGCTTCTCACTGATGAGAGGACTGATGCTCCAGCCTGCCTACCCCCACAGCAGCAGTGGGATTGAGCAACAGCACACATTTATCTCTGTAGTGCCAAAAGTTGAAGAAGATTGACTGATGGGTGGATGTCATGATATTATTCATTGACATTGGATGGTCGCATATTGATTTTGATATTAAAATACAAAGAAATTGTTGGGGTTTTTTTGGACAAATTGTTAAATAGGTATACATTATGAGCGGGGATGTAATCTAAAAGGCATAAAAGCATTTTTAATTTCATCTCAAGTTTACGATTAAAAAGACACAAAACAAACCACAGTAACCCTGTAATAGTAAATATGCAAAATAAAAAAAATATTTAGTATTTAGCCCTTTAAAAATGACTCTTAATCACTCTCACAAGTCAGTCGAGCTGAGCCGGGGTTAGTCTGGTGCTATGTCGGGCTGATTATCCTATGGACATTTGCTTTAACACTGTAAGATATGTTACTGTCTTGAAATAAAAGGAGTGTAATATGAATCAGCACAATACATTTTTTTTTTTTTTTTTTTACACAAGGTTGGAACATGAGTCATGTACTGCAGAAAGGAATAAAATAATAAAGTGCCAATGGGTGATGAATCTTCAGTTGGGTTAAGATGTGGTGACTGTCAGGGCCATTCAATTTCATACTCATCAGACCGTTCAGTGACTCCTATTTCTGCATTTATCATCTTAAACTTCTCATGTGTCTAAGCATAAAATGTGTGCAAGCCTTTAGTTCCCATAAGCCTATAAACACCAGAGAACAGTATCATGTTGTATACTGGTGGCTACCACTCATACACAGTAAACATCTGTGATTGCACACACAAATGTGTGGCCATTTCAAGACTCAAAGTCTGGATGGGTGTGCTTCATTTCCTGTAGCCAGGACACAATCTGCTGCTGTATGATTATCTTTAAATGACTCCACCTAATACTAGCATACTGACTTACAGGTACCATTGTACTGCTCAGCTGCTTTTAGTGAAACTGTGCAGACTGAATGAACAACAAAAACATAAAACAATTTTCTCTGAAAGTGCAATATTTTGAATTTATAATAGGCCTATTATATAGGAGATATGCATACCATGTGCCTCTTGCATGTTTCAAGTAATTTTTCATTTTCTAAATCTGAATCAAGATTAAGTCGTAATGACTCCAGTCCACACTGTGCTGTTCAGCATCAAAGGGGGAGACAAACACCCTGTGACTTTACGGCAGCCTATATACAAGGGGTGGGCACAATGAAAGCAAAAACAGTACAATTTAATGCAATCCAATTCACTAGCCCTACAGTAAATCCTACCATTCTGAGCTCTTAATGTTCTGTGTTTAGTTGAGACTGTGTGCAAGAGGTGGTAATCCAACTTTAGGCATTTTATCATATTAGTTGTGGTGCTGTTGCATTGGATTTCTTACTGGGTACATACTGTATATCATACTGAATAACACCCACTGTACAGGCTCAGTCACTCTGTCATCAGACTGAATACAAGCTACAACAGCATGTCCTCACCTCTGTATTCTACTGGAACGTTGCTGCTAAACCAGGATATCGGATGAACTTCATTTGAACTTGATTTGCATGAATTCCTGTGATTAGAAAAGGCACTACCACCACTGAGCAATCCACCTTGTCAGCAAGTAGGCCATCGAACTGAGTGTCCATCCTGTATCCACAAGCTAAAACAATTTACAGTAGTTTCTCCCTGGGTCAATGCTTAGGAAAAACACTACAGTGATAGTTACTATAGATGAGGCCATCAATATATATATATAAGTCTCTGTCTGTACAGGCAGGCCCTAATAAATGGGCCACAGCAGAAATGTGGACTAAGTTTAACTTTGGTGGTTCAGTCTTAGGCAGTGTCCTCCCGTAGGAACCTTGTGGCCTGAGGGCAGAAACTCTTCCTGAGCCTCTTGGTGCTGGCCTGGTGGTGGTCTCGTTCTCCTGGCCTGTCCATATTTTTCCATGCACTGAAAGATGATTGTGCCACAGCCTAACTCCCTGCCTCGGCACACAACTACTACCATTATTGCTACTTCTAGCTGCCATTTATCCCAGACATTCCATGTGTCCTTAAGGCACTGCGAGACACAACGGGACAACGGCACCACTGTTCTCTGAAACACCTTACTTCCAGTGGCTTACTTCCATCTGAAAAGGCCTTTAGCTACCTAAAGCCAACAGATGTCTATCATCATGTAGAAAGTAAAAAGTTTTGTGAATGTAAGGAGAAGTACCACATAAATATTTACCTTTATAAAGTCATTTTATTGGTTTCCAGCAGGTTGCCTAATTTCTAAATACTGAAAATTCCCATATATAAGCTGTCATGACATCGTGGCAATGTTTTCTATGCCGTTGCAATCACCCAAACGCAGCCTTTGTCGCTCTTTATACTACAGATGATATTGCTCTTTCATGCGCATGTGTATTTTTTATGTCTAGTTAAGGCAAATCGTGACACTGACAAGGTATCCAGTAGCATGGTTCCCAACCTGGGGGTCGAATTGTACAAAAGGTTACCTAAAATTATCAGGAAAACTAATTTCTGACGCAATATACAAAGGAACTAATCTGCTTAATATTCATCCAAATCACCCGTTTTACACAAATTATTGTTATTCACTGTTTGGGTTCATTCACTCATCGTACAGTTTATCAGTTGTTCTGTACTTTTACTGATGCATTGCATCTAATATGAAACATCCATGAAATATGTCACTTAGTCAGGGGTCGTCAGTTTACTCAAGGATAGAAATAGTGTCACTTATGGAGAAAGGTTGGGACCCACTGCTGTAGAGGATCAGTGGGTCTATTACACAAAATGATGTAAAACTTACTTAAATTGCTTTGGTTGTATGCAGCTGTAACCCAGCAGGTATTTTAGTTTGTAAACCCTACAGGGATCCAACCTATATAAAATAGTTCCTCTTGACTTTGGCTGCAATCTTGTATTCTGTATCTCAAAGGAAAAAATATTTTAGGATTTCTGTGTCGGATGAAACCCTGGCTTGACCACCTGTTTTCAACAGACTATGATTTAAGAAAATATACGGCTGGTTTTGAGAGAATTTGGGTGACCTGGGGTTATGGCATTCACTCAACCCTTAAAAAGGCCTGTGCAGTCTTTGAATTCCAACAATAAAGTAATGGAGAAAAGAGAAAAATACCTCAACTTAAGTCACAAAGTAAGATTATATATAGAGATAGACTATCATTCCATCAGCTGCAGAGAAGATTTAAAGTCAGGTTGTGTACCTCCTCTCTCCTTTCCCTCTCTTACAACCAGACGCAGTGCATTAAAAGAGAGTGTCAGAGGGGGAAAAGAGAAACAGAGACAGTCAAAATGAAAGTTGAGTCCTTCAGAGAGGGAATAACAGAAAAGAGAGGTGTAAAAAAAAAAGGGGAGGCAACGGGAAGACACAGAGAATAAACAAGTGAGCAGGGAGGGAAAGAGTGAGAGAGAGCAGAGAGAATGGGTAATTATAGCCTATGGTGCCACGCCGAGAATCAATATTTAATTTCTTTGTCTGCTATGATAAGGAGAGACTGAAATCATTTCGAGATCTCAGCTTACCACTCAATACCTCACAATCTACAAAATCATATGTGCTACTCAGAATGGCTTGCTGGACTTGGATGTAAAAGCTTGAATCTAGATAATCCTCTGGAGTGAGTATTGAGGCTATTGGATAAAAGAGGTTTGAGTTAAGGAAGAAGATTTGGAGGTTTTTAGAATTAAAACACAGTATAAAACCAAAGTCACAGAGCTCACTCATAAAACAATCTTTCAAAGAATTGTATTTTCCTTGAGGTTTTAAAGTCTTTATTTCTGTCCTCACCTTTGTTAACACCATATTTCCATGACCATAGTTGAATAAAATAATTCCTCCCATTTTCCTCAAAATAATAAGTGGCCCCAACATTTTGTACACTCAGCGTACATCAGCATTATGACACATCAAATAAGTGGAGGGTGGCAGAGAGTGGCGGCGCACAGTAATCAGAATGCAATCCACAGCAACAACAAAGTGCCAAATGACAAAAAACAACTTTGCATTATGTGTGAGATGATAATAATAATAATTCCGTTCCGGACCGTGGTCTTTGGAAAAGCCATTTGCAGCTGTTGAACTGAAAAGCATGTCCCAGCCATCCAGAAATGAGTGACTGGGATATTAAAGACACAAAGAGAGGGAGAGAGAGAGAATGGGAGAGACAGAGGGGGAGAGAGGAAGACAGAGAGAGCCAATACAAAAAGTCTACAACTAGTCTTTTTCTGTCGGTCTTGTCTTAATCACTTTTACTGACCGTAATGGAAGACAGAGTTACATACCAGTGCCGTGGTCAAGACCAGGACTAGTCGAGGCTGGGTCAAGACTGAGTCCAAAAAGATACTCGTCAAAAATCCAAATGGGAGAGACAGAGTCAGGATTCTGAAAAACAGAATGCTTTTGCCATTGCCTTGAGATGAGTTTTGGCAGCCAGGCATATGATTGCAAGTAACACTGATTGTCAATGTCAATGCCTGTTTTAGATGCATTTTGTATAAAACCATTACATGCATACATTTTGAACAAGCACGTTTCTTCACTGGCTTTGTTTTGAGGGGAAAAAAACATATTGATGCCTTGGCTTGGTCAAGAAGTCTATTAGTGCAACAGACCATTGTAAGTAATTAGCCTTTTGATCCAGCAGAGGGCGCCCCACTATGAGCTCGACCTACGGCATAGCCTATTGACCTGTCAGTAAACTCAGCTAGTCATTTTGTGTCCTTCACTGCAAAAAGGAGGACACTAGCAAGCAAAGCCGTCTTGAGCAGACAATCATGACACCAACGCATCTGAGATGCAATGTGTGTTTTATTGAGAACTTCCTGTGTAACAGGAAATGGAACTGAAATGCTGCTATAACTGAACGTCCAGCAGGTGTCACTGTTTACCAGAGAACCTGTGGACAATCCTCTTTATGAAGGCTTCATTTGCCAAAACAGATATCTTAGTTATTATTTATTTATCTAAATCTTTTTGTTTTGTTTTTTGGTGCAATCTGGGAAATATCAATCAAACTGGTGTCTCCATTTTTAAAAATGTTCATACATTTTTTATTGTGCACTCAAGGTATCAATCAATGGTTTATTCATTTTAAGAATTGTGTTTATCTGTTTGTGCAAAGTAACTCTTTATTTAAGTGCAAATACAGAGAAGAAGAGTACAAGTGAATGTAAACCATGATCATATCAAAGAAGCAAACAATGATTATTAATAAGTACTGGAAAATACACAGTAAAACAGATAGTAATGTACATAAATCGTATCCCTCCAAGTAATTGGGTAATGCATTATGTACTGTAAAATACACAGAAGATTCTGCATGACCCACATGCTGTATAATGCCTATCCCACTCACAGTGAAGAAATCCTTTTCTCTCTATAGCAATTGATAAAACGATTGCTGAGTGGGTTAAAAGTCCACCTTGCAGAAGATTGCCCACAGAGAAACAGTGCACTTAGGGAATAGGCATTGATTAATCCTACCTAAGAGTAATTATGTATATTCCAGGGCCATAGGTTATACACACATTAGGCTGTAA